CAGCGTGCAGGCCTTACCCGCCCCGCCTGCCCCACCTGGACAGCCCTTCCTGCAGAAGAAGAGGCCGGGCCGAGGCCCAGGTGAGCGCCACTGTCTGGGTCCAGGGTGGCCAGACGGGACGGTCACCAGACGGTGCTGGCAGTCGGGGAGGTGCCGGGGCCACAGCCAGAGACCTGCTCCTGTGAGCCGCTTGGGACTACCTTGCGATGCCTTACGCTGGGCTTTTGGTTTAGAACAGACCCCTTCAGTGTCCCTGTGGAGCGTAATAAAGCCTGGCTGTGGGACTTTAGCTGGGGTGTTCATGTTAGAGGCAGGAAATCAAGGCTGAGGGCGGCTGGGAGACCTGTCCACAGTGATGCAGATCACAGGCCGGGGAATCTGGCCTAGATCCCCTCGCCTTTCCTAGCTGTGTGACCCTGGCTGGACAATCACAGCCTCTCTGTGCTTCTCCTTCTCCCCTGTGAAGAGGGGATAGCAGTAGCGCCCCCTCAGGCAGTTGTTGGAACAGGCCCTACCGCAGGGAGATCTAGAGGGGGTTATTTATTCTTCCCATCGTGTCCAGTCGCCAGACCTCCTCCCTGGGGAGGAGGGGCTGTGGTGCATTTGCTTCAGAACCAGCTTCCTGTTCAATTTTTCCTGAGTTATTTCAGCCTGGCTCCCAGCCAGCATGTCACCGGCCCTCAGGAGGTTGGATCAGTGTTTTTTTTTTTTTTTTTTTTTTTTTTGGCAGGTTCTCCTGCTGACTCAAGGAAATGGAGGGTCTGTATTTCAGCCAAATATTAAAAGTAATTCCTTTAGCTCCCCGGCAGCAGTGATTTGCGATTGAGCACACACACCTGCCCCATGACTGATGTCCATGTAGCGCAACGGCTTCGTTCACTCTTGGTGGCTGTCTGAATGGGAAGCGCTCACACACATCCACACGCACACATGCAAACACACTCATAAATACCCCAACATTATATTTACAAACACCCACACATGCACCCAACACACACCCACACGTATACACGTGTTCCTTGATCTTTCAGAAAATTCTTTGATGCATAAAGTTTCTTAAATGTATTTATTTGCATTAAAAATAACACAAGCTCATCGTAGAGCAAATAGAAAGAAATTTAAATCACCTACCATATAATAACATCACCCAGAAATAAAAACGGTCATATTTGGATGTGTTTTATTTCTTTTTTTCTGAATGTACCTATGTATTTGCATAGTTAATACCATTTTGCATATACTATTTTCTATTCTGTCTTACATATTACTTTAAAAGCAATTTATCAAATCTTTAAAACTTATTTATAAGCATATTAACATGATAATCAGTATGTACCCTATTTTCAGTGTTAGATGTTAAAGTTGATTCCCTTTTTGGTTATTGTGAATAAAACTGCAGGAAATACTTTTATAGCAGCGGTTCCCCTTTTGGGGGCTGTGCCGTCTGAAGATGAGGATGGTCATTGTCATTAAGATTATTGCAGCAGTTAACCTTTATTGAGCCCTTACTACATGCGACTTCCTTCACTCAACAACTCTAGCAGGTGTGTGTGTGTGTGTGTGTGTGTGTGTGTGCGCGTGCGTGCGTGCGCGCGCTATTATTATTCCCATTGGACAGAGGAGAAAACTGAGGCACAAAGAGGTTGTGTTATTATCCCAGTGGGAAAACTGGGATTCAGTCCAAGCAAGTTGGCTCCAGAGGCAGCCCTTTTCCTCACCATTTCATCTTACATCCGCAGGTCTCAATACCTCACCCCTCACAGCATTCACTCTAGTATCTGAATACATCCATCATCTTCTCTGTCAGGTACCAGTGGGGGAAAGCTGAACCCACCCCCAGCGCCCCCTGCGCGATCCCCCACCACGGAGCTCTCCAGCAGGAGCCAGCAGGCCCCAGGCTGGACCCCGACACCACAGCCGGGAGGTCAGCTGCGGAACGGAGGCCTGCACATGCACATCATTGGTAAGCGGGGCCTGGCAGGGAGGGGGTGGTTCCCTGTCCCAGGAGGAAGCCCGCCCGCCAGGGTGCATGCTTTGCAAGAACAGGGTGCTCACTGTAGCATAGAACAGCCCACAGGTTGTGTTAAATACAGGGTTTCCCTTGAGACTTTCTGGAGGGTCCCAGAACCCACTCTGAACCTTCTGATTGAGTTTAAAGAGAGGCAAGAAAACAAACATCAAAGCTGTGTCTGTCTCCATGGAGAAACCCATGCATAGGGCTGAAAGGATAGAGTGATTTGGATGAGGTGAATGAATGGACAGAAGGCCCAGCAGGCAGGGGGACAATGAGGGCAAAAATACGGAGATAGGAAGGAAAGTCACATGGGGTCGGATGTGACCAAAAATCTTTGGATCCCTTTGTGGGTTGAGCTACTGTCAGACACAAAGCCTGGATCATAAAGCAGGGACTCAACCACTGACAAGGCCACACCCCCCTCCCCTTGCCATCAAGGGCTCAGGACAGAGCCCGCTTGCTTGGGGACCTGGGTCAGTCCGTATGGACACAGGCCATGCTCCATCTCACCAGCCAGGCTGGGACTCCCGTTCAGCCCACTCCTCCCCACCCAACCCCTCCCAGGAGCTCAGGGGGCTTCAGGCTGTGGGGACTGTGCTGTCCCTGTGCCTGCCACGTTCCCCGCCTCTGACCCTGGAACCTGGAGAGCCCTGTGGCTCTTCGGCTCCCTTTAGAAGCTTCCTTAAGATGTTGGTGGGCGTCACTTGGGGTGGGTGATGGGGAGAGTCTGTTGATTTCATTTTTCCCGATTCCCCTTGTCCCAGCTAAACAGTAAAAATTGAGAAGTGGATAGAGGTCTGGGGGGTATAGCCCCACCATTGAAACCCTAGCACTGGGCAGGCCAACCTGTGCGCCCCGGGAAATTCCCCGACTTGGGTCATCACGGCAACCGAGTAACCTTGCCGTTTCCCGCGTGTGCAGATGACTTCGAGTCTAAATTCACGTTCCATTCTGTGGAAGACTTTCCTCCTCCGGATGAGTACAAGCCCTGCCAGAAGATTTACCCCAGCAAGATCCCCCGAAGTAAGTACCGCCCTCATGTTGCCAGGACCCCTGGTTCTCCCTGACTCTCCAGCATCCGGTGCTGCGCCTCTCAGAGATTACCGAGGCCTCTCTCACTGTGCTGGACCGTGATACAGTGCCGTCCATACGTCTGAAGTTCCAGAACACTTATCAGTCCCAGTCCCCAAGGCTTCACTTAGAGCAGGGGTTCTCAACCTTCTGGCCCTTTAAATACAGTTCCTCATGTTGTGACCCCCAACCATAAAATTATTTTCGTTGCTACTTCATAACTGTAATGTTGCTACTGTTATGAATCGTAGTGTAAATATCTGATATGCAGGATGGTCTTAGGCGACCCCTGTGAAAGGGTCATTCGACCGCCAAAGGGGTCGCGACCCACAGGTTGAGAACCACTGACTGAGAGGCTTTTACACAATACCAGAGTTAATCGTTTAATCATATTTGGGTGAATTCACCACTGATCCCTCCCCTCTCTGGGGCTTTTGACTGGGGAGCTCAACACCCCAAGGAAGATGGAATGCAGGACCTTGGCATTGGTAGCCTGGAAGAACCCTAAGAACCTCCATCTGGCAGACAGTGAAACGAGCATGTCCTCAGGTCAATGGCTCTCAACTTTGGCTACACAACAGAATGACCTAGAGAACTTAAAAACCCTGAAGGCCAGGCTGCACTAGACCAGCCAAGTTAGAATTCCTAGGTAGGGCCAGGGTGTTGGCGATTTCGAAAGCTGCTCGTCGATTCTGATGTCCAGCTAAGGCTGAAGGTCTCCCCCGGTGAGAGCTGCCGCCTCCTAGCTTCATCGTGTGGCCAGGCTCCGAGGGAGGCCTTCCCTTGGCTGAGCTGTTCAGCCCCAAGAGTGCAAGAGGGAGGGGCTGGCGTCCTGCCCCTCAGGCCCAAAGTCCAGGGAGGCAAGACTTTAGGAAGCAAAGCAAAGCAAGGTGGGGTGTTGACCACACACGGATGCTGCTTCTTGGTCAAAACATGAGCCGATTTGTGTCTGGTGCTGAGCCAATCCGATTGGACAGGAGCTGGTAAGACAGGACAGAGTCAGCAACACGGGTGAGGGTGGGATGTGCTCCCCACCCACAAGCTGAGAAAGGCCCCCAGCCCCAGGCTTCCGTGGGCCAGCGTGGAAAACTGTAAAATCATCAGAGTCCGGGCTTAGCCCAAGGCCAGGCATTCTTGAGTCTCTTTCACAAGGACCTTGGTGAGGCCCCTTCTCCAGGGTTCAGCTTCCCGCTAGTTTGAGCTGTCCACCTTCATGCCGCAACCCCGCTTCTCTGTTACACCCCAACTGCAACACACAAATGTGACCCCCTGGCCCCTGGAGGCGTTTCAGTGGCCGACCCCTAGGAGAAGCCACAGGTCAGCAGACGTTTCCTCTGAAGGGTCAGAGGTGACATAGTTGAGGTTCTGCAGGCCATATGGTCTCTGCCACTACTACTCGCTTCTGCCATTTCCACGTGAAAGCAACCATTGACAGTGTGTAAATGAATGGGTGTGGCTGTGTTCCAATAATACTTTATTCACAAACACAGTTGCTGTCTGGATTTGATCTGCTGGCCATACTCTGCTGATCTCTGTCCCAAACCATTCCAGCAGGCAGGTTCTTAAAAGTCTCCTTCTGTTACACAGCCTTTGCCAGTGTGCTACGGAGTCCTTCTACCTTCAGGCTCAGGAAATGCTCCTGCGAGGTTTCTGTGCGTTGAGCCCATGGTGCCCAGTCTCATCTCTGAGAATAAAAAAAACTCTGCCCACACACAGCTGGCCAGGAGGGTGCAGTTGGCAGTCTGTGCTGTGCTCCTTTCAACACAAATCAGTGCCCAGACCCAAACACGGGCTCCTGATACTTGGGTAGGTGAGAGGAGGAGAAACCTACTAAATGAGCTGACATCCTGCAGAGCAGAAATGGCATCTGTAATTAGCAGACATCACCTTCTACACAATTAAATTAGCATGTCCCTGCCATCCCCGCAAGCCGGAGGGTAGAACCTTGTTAATTATATCAGTGTGAGTCTGCGAAGGGTCAGGCCTGTCCCATTACATTTCTCCTTACAGTTTCCTCCTGCTCCCCCCTGGCCTGGCTCCCCAGGTTAGCGTTCTTCGAGGTCTGGGAGACAGCGTTGGTTCTGCCGGATGAGTGTTTGCCAGCATTTCTTTCCCTTTTAAGGCTGAATAATATCCTGCGGTTGGATACTCCACATTCTCTTTTATCCGTTCATCCACCAGTGGACACTTGCCCTGCCTCTACCTCTCAGCACTTGTTAGAATGCCGCTGAACATGGGTATACGATTATCTCTCTGAGACCCAGCTTTCATTCTTTGTGTGCATCCCCAGGAGTAGAATTGCTGGATCATAGGGAAAGTCTACTTTTAATGTGGGGGGTGAGGGGAGCCCACCATAGTGTTTTCCATTGTCCATTCCCGTCGACAGTGCATAAGGAGAGATGCAGAGCGTTCCTTTCTGCTGTGTGAGGAAAGCGATTCTCCTTTAGCTCTGCTGTTGTTAACAGTGGTGTTTAGGAAAGCCAGGGAGCATGGCTGAGCTATGGAGGGGCCTGTAGTATTGCCCAGCGGTTCTCCCGGGGAGGGGGGACCCACCCCCAGAGGACCCTGGTGCTGTCTGGAGACAGGTTTTGTTGTTGCAGATGGTCTGGGGCATAGAGGATGTGCTACTGGCATCTGGGATAATGCTGAACAGCCCGCAGCTCACAGGCAGGCCACACACCATCAACCAGCCCCAAATGAGCCACATTAAGAAACCCTGGCCTAGAGGAAGCCTTTTCTGTGGTCGACTGGAGTTTTTTAAACCTAAGAACAGTCAGTTCAAGGTCAGACTGCCACGTGGAATTAGGGCTGTATATCAGTGTATTTTTAATTTTCATTCAGTTAATAAACTGGCTAAAAATCTAGCACTCTCTATGTCATTTACCTGAAAATATCTTTATTCAAAAACAAACGCAGTCCTAGCTGGTTTGGCACAGTGGATAGAGCGTCGGCCTGCAGACCCAAGGGTCCTGGGTTTGATTCTGGTCAAGGGCATGTACTTGGTTGCAGGCTCCGCCCTGGCCTGGGCCCTGGTCAGGGCACATGCAGGAGGCAACCAATCAATGTGTTTCTCTCACATCGATATTTCTCCCTGTTTTTCCCTCTCTCTTCCCCTCTTTCTAAAAATCAATGGAAAAATATCCTGGGGTGAAGATTTAAAAAAAAGAACAAGTGCACTCATTAATTTAAAAAGCACTTTAATGGGAATTACAGAGCCCGTTGGATTCGGGGTGTGGCAGTTGCAGAGACCTCCTGTGAGAGAGTTCTCTCAGAAAACCGTGTCCTGCCTCAGCAGGTTCCCAAGACCACATCTGGGTTCTTATAGAAAACTGAAAAGGTGTTCTTAGGAGATTAAAGCAAACCAGCTGGTCCAGGAAGAATCAATTCGGTCTGTTACACATACTGTTATGAATTTTAAAAATAGTTCTGGTCATTCTCCTTAGACAATTCCCAGCCTGCTTTTCCTCCCAGGGAGCACACACAGCAGCTGGCGTGTTCGGATGACTGCTATTCTTGGAATGTCACCCCACATTCTCTGAGCCTTTGTAAACATTCACACAGCTGCTAGGACTCCTTCAGAGGAAGATTCCCGGACACTTTAGACTCCCGGACACTTTTCTTGAACACGGGTTGTCGTCAGGTTTTCAATCTTAGAAATAATTTGCGATGGCTATTCCTGCTGCTCACGCTGCTTTGTGAGGAGCACAGCAGTGGGGGTGTCCGGAGGACTTGGGGAGGTGGTTCTTTAATTCTCGTCTGTGGCAGAAGCAGGACAAGAGGGTCTTGTACCAAATGCAGCAGGAGAAGCGACTTCAGGACCACCGTTCGGAACACCTGACTCAGGAGAAGTCCTCACAGGAACGTCAGGGAATGTGGATTAAAACTCAGCCATAAAAGTATATGAAAATAAATAAGTAAAACTCAGCCAGACCAGTGAGACCATATATATGCATATAAACACCTATACCTACACGGTAAATCCCAAATGGAAAAGTATCTGGAGGGATAAACACCAAACTCGGAGCAGCGGTGACTCCGGGATGGAAAATGGGGATTGGGTGGAGGGGTAGGCAGAGAGGGCCACTTCAGGTTGGTTTTCTTTCTCCTGTTACGTTCTTCTGTATTTGAAGTCTCCATTATGAGAATATATATAACTTGTATAATATTTCAACACAATGCATTTCAGAGAAGGAGTTGGGTCCTGATGGGACAGAGGGTGACTGACAACATGTACTTACCTTTGGCTCTTTTTCAAAGCAAGGCCAGCGCTGTGGGTGGCACGTTCGGGTGCTGGGGCTGGCGGGTGTCTGAGCTAAGATGCTCTCTGTCTAGACACTGAGACAACAGGCCCCTGTGGCTTGTCCCCCCACCCCAGCATGCTGGATGTGGCCCGTGGACGCGAAGTCCGGGACCCAGAAGCAGTGTGGAAACACACAGTCTGGGGCCAGCAGCTGCAGGTCTCAGGTGGGCTGGCTCACGTTGCTCTGGTTCCTTTGCTGCTACTGTCAGCGCTGTGAGCACCGGTGTAGCCCGTGTCTCTGTGCCATGCACAGCCGGGCCCTGCGCCAGCAGATGGTGAGATTGTCCCCGTGCCTTTCAGGCCGTACACCTGGTCCCTGGCTCCACGCTGAGGCTGCTGGGCAGAGCTCCGATGACATCAAAGGCAGAAACTCTCAGGTAACGCGTCCCTCAGGTCCCTCGGAGACGGTGAGGGTATGTCGTCTCTTAACGGCTTCACCCCTTTCCTCAGGGAGAGCCACGGGGTGTGCCTTTGTTTCCCGCTGGAATGACACTCAGAACTTTAAAACCTAAAGAGTGAGGGTGGGGGGTGGTCCCTGGAATCACCACCACATAACCCCTGTGGACTCATCTGCAGTCACCACGTCTACTCCCCATTCATTCTGCCCTCCTATGTCAGCTCGAGCAGCCTGAGAGACTGTAACATTTATAAAACATAGTTCCATGTTCTCTCTCATACATAGAATACGTGGTTTCTTACCCTGGGGGGGGGGCATTCTTTACTCATCAATATTATAATATTTTTAAAGTTTTTTTTATTGAGCATTTTTATTTGAAACTAGAGGCCCAGTGCACAAATTCGTGCATGGGTGGGGTCTGGCCAACCAGCCCTGATGGGGGCTGATCAGCTGTGGGAGGTTGGCCATCTGGCCCTGCCCCTCCCTGATTGGGGTTGGGGGCCGATCCAGGCCCCTATTGGGCTGGTTGGCCACTGCAGTGTGCATCATAGCAACCGGTCGTTCTGGTCGTTTCAGTCGCTTGGCTTTTATATATATAGATTTCTGGCTAAAGTCAGACTGTGTGAAACATAAAAGATGAAAAATGCTTGAGCCTATGCATGTTATACAATGGCATTAGGCCCCGCCTGTCATGAACTACATGTCCCATTTCATCCCTTTCCACCTGCAACCCTGGGTAAAAATCAGCTCCTTGCGTATGAGGGGGCATCAGGCCCTGGCAGCCTTGCACAGAGAGAGCACTTCGGTGCCCAGCCCTGGGAGGTGAGGGGTAGTCACCTGTGTGCAGAGTCTTCTAACCCCACCTGGTGATGCTGTCTTGTTTCCACAGTTAACTCTGAAGACGCTCCGATGAGAAGACTGAGGAAGCCCATGTCCTGCGAGCCCCTGAGGCTCCCCACTGCGGACAGGCATCCCAGGAGGCCGTGTCTGACCTCACTGCACTCCAGTTGCAATGCAGTTGACATACAGGCTCTGCATGGAGCATTTATTTATTGTAAATACGTGGTTTGCACAGGCTTTAAATCGGTATCATAGTCGACTTTTATTTTGTAAAAAAGCTACCCTCACCGTTTCTCCATTTTTTCAAAATGCATCTTGGCATTCGCCTGCCGGTGCAGATGGAGCCCTGCCCCACCCCACAGCGTCCGTCCCGTGACTGTAAAGACCGTGCAGGCTGGCCCTTCCTGCGTACGGACCCGTGTTTAGAAGATTCCTTGGTTTGCCAGCTGCCCCACAGTCACAGTATCCACGGTGACTTCTGATTGGCATGATTTTATGTTCTCAGCACGCAAACTGCAGAATCAAACCAAACAATGCCTTATACGTGACACAGCTCAGAGACCCGAGTGTCCCCTCTCCCAGACGACGCACTCGGCCTCCAGCGGACGGGACGCCACGTCCCGCTTCCGTCTTGCAGTACAGGGATTCTTTTTTTTTCCTGCCTAATGTAAATATAACACAAAGCCCAGGCAGGCGTGGGCTCGGCCCCTTTTGTAAATGAATGATCCTACGAGTAGCCAATGCTCTGTTTACAGTGCCCCTCGTGCCCAAGTCCCCTCCAAGCCCCTTCCTGGACCTCCAAGCCCCTTCCTGGCAGCCAGGCCGACGTGGGGTGAGCTTTAGGGGATTGGGGTATTTTCCTTGCAAGTTAGAAACCTGCATCACACTCATTTTTAGAGTAAATTACTAATCCTATCTCAGCGGTCTGTATTTTTTCTCCCAAGTGCAGGATTTCTATGGCAAGAAAAAGTGTGGGCCGAATGTATTAGGAACTATCTGCCTCAAATGTCTGGTTCCCCACCCCCAGGCCTAGGGCCACCCCTCAGGCAAAACCTAGCTCCCTCTGAGCTGAAGAACAGAACTGGCCCGAGATCTGGTGGGGGGTACCTCTCTGGGGGCAGCTGTGTCCACGGTCAGCCACCCCTGGATAAGGAGCAGGCCAGGGTGGGCTCCGACCGCTGCTCACACCCATGGTCTCGAGCTGGAGAGGGAACAGAAGTGTGTGTGTGCTTGCCGCCTGGCTCCCAGGGCTCCCTGTCCTGGGAGAGGCCGGCTGTGACAGAGGAAGGGGAGAAAATAGAAGGAAACACGCTCATCTCTGGCCTGTTATCAAAATAGCTGCAGATGAAAGGAAGTTGTGGAAGGAGAGGCTGGCAGGCGGTAAAAATGTTTCCTCTGGAACCAGCCTCGCCTGGGCTCCCATCTCGAGGGGACCATACCCAGACCAAGCCATCCAAAAAGGCAGCGGCTAGGAGGGTTCTGCTCACACGTGACTGCACGCACCTAGTGGTGGTCCGGAGTCACCTAGGATGCTACCCTCCATCATTGTGCTTCCTCCTTGCAGGGAGAAGCCAGTGAGCGAGGTCAAGTTCCCTTCTCTGGGGACTAAATCAAGCCAAATTGTAACAGAAATCAATGGAAAAGAAGATTTCCAGGTCACAGCTCTGGGCATAGTTGCTGGGTTTCAGATGTTCTGGAAGGTTTCTGAAAGGTCAGACTTCCTTTATTATAACAGTATTCACATCACCTTCCTCCCAGTTGTATGACAGAGTTGCAAAGGATTTAAATATCGTGGTCAAGAAGGCCCTAGACCAGTGGTTCTCAACCTTCTGGCCCTTTAAATACAGTTTCTCATGTTGTGACCCAACCATAAAATTATTTTCGTTGCTACTTCATAACTGTAATGTTGCTACTGTTACGAATCATAATGTAAATATCTGATATGCAGGATGGTCTTAGGCGACCCCTGTGAAAGGGTCGTTGGACCGCCAAAGGGGTCGCGACCCACAGGTTGAGAACCGCGGCCCTAGACAAAGGCAGTCCTGCCTACGGGGCACCGCCTGCCCCGTGAGGTGCTTATACGTGCTCGGTCCACAACGCTGGGCTGGAAATGAAAAACGAAACTATTCAAGGGCAGACAGAAGGAATGAGCAGAAACCACAAATCGCAATTGGGGGGTGGGGGGGCCCAGATCTCAGGAGTCGGCATCGCATCGCTCCTCTGAGACCGATCACTGCATTCGGGCCCCTTGGACTCGCAGGACAGAGGTGGAGCCCCTGACCATGCACCCCCTGCCGCCCCCAGACAGCTGATCACTGCGGTCTCCGTCCTCGGAGATTCCCACAACAGGCCTGTCGTCTGTGCTCCCCAGTGTTTCCCACGCATTTTGTATTTATAAATATAAACAAATATAAAAAGCCTCTGCAGGTTATTTCTCTGTACCTAATAAACTTTGGCAAACGGACATGCTTCTGGCCGTCTCCCTGTGGAAACCTAGCGTGGTCACCAGTACTGAGCTCAGGGTCAGGAGGGCTTCTGACAGGATGAAGCCCGGTACTCGGCTGCCTCCGGCGCTGCTGAAATGTCCTGTTAGAGTCAGGCCTTTCTTTACTGAGCTGACGTTTCTGACTAAATCACAGTCACAGTTTCGTCTGATGTTCCCCTGGTGTTTGTAAGTTAACTGAATGGGTATTTGGAAAAACCAACTAAGGGAAAAACTTTCTTAAATGCATTTTTTTTCAGGTTTATTAATATGGGTAGCCTGGCCACATGGCCCAGTGGTTGAGCGTCGACCTATGAATCAGGAGGTCACGGTTCGATCCCTGGTCAGGGCACATGCGTGGGTTGTGGGCTCAATCCCCAGTGTGGGACATGGAGGAGACAGCTAATCAATGATTCTCTCTCATCATGGATGTCTCTCTTTCTCTCTCTCTGAAATCAATAAAAACATTTAAAATGTGTGTGTGTGTGTGTGTGTGTGTGTGTTTATGTAGAGAATTCCTCTAACTTCTGTTTAAAAGGAACAACTTTCAACCTAAAGTACGCTTAGCACCACCCCCCACAACGTAGCAAACTCCTCCAAAAACCTCCTGTATGGAGCAGCAGAATCACCCCAACCTCCATGCCAGTACTTGCAGGTGAACTCCGAAATGTGGGAAGGGGAGGGGAGGTTTACCCACGGGAGACGCTGGCTCAGGGAAGTGAATTACTTCACCAGCCTGTGCCTCAGTTTCCTCACCTGTGAAATGGAGATATCAACATGTACCTGAGCATATAGTGGTAACAGCTCAGTGATGTAACACCCAGGCAACCCTTAACCCCCTGCGTCACAGCAGACCCGGGCATTGGCCTGCCCCTGGCCCTGAGACCCGAACTCCGGGGGACAACGCCATGGGAAGATGAGGGCAGATACAGGGCGATGCTCCCTAGGCCAAGGAGTGCTGAAGACCGCCAGCCGAGCCCTGGCGTAAGGAGACGGCCCTCGGGAGGAACCCACGCTGCCCGCACGTGGACCTTGGGCTTCTAGCCTCCGGCCCGGTGAGAGTTCATTTCTGTTGTTTAGCGGTACTTTGTTAAAGCAGCCCTAGCAAACGAATGCGGGCTTTGTCTCCTTGGAGTTTTGCAGGAGTACATTACAGGGAAAAGAGCTGGAGGTCAAGTTTAAAGGGTTAGCAGTTCCTGGTCATATAAATGGGGCAGTCGACTACTCTGACCTTGACAGAGGTCACTCATTTCCATGAACAAGATAAGTAGTTGCATTTGCCCATCCTGGTGGAGACAGGGTCGTGGGAGCAACCTGGCATTTCTAGGCCACAGGAGTGTAGAGAGGCTGACTTTTTTCTTAAGCGGCATCCTTCCCTCTGGTGGACCCACTCTGGGCTTTAAAATAAAGATGCGTGGCATAGATGCCAGCAGCCATTTGGAGCATCTAGACTCCTGTTGCTAGTACGGCTTTAATGGTGGTGACACAAACCCAACATAAAGTTTACCATCCTAACCATGTTTAAGTATACCATTCAGTAGTGTTGAGTGCATTCACATGATTGTGCAGCCAATCTCCAGAACTCCTTTATGATCCACAAAACTTTAACTTTATACCCCCTAAGAAATTCCCCATTTCCCCCTCCCTGCCCCTCACCTACGTGGAATAATACAATACTTGCTGTTTTGAGACTGGCTTATTTCACTTAGCATGATGTCCTCAGGGCATCCATGTTGTAGAATGTGTCAGAATTTCCTTCCTCTTTAAGGCTGAATAGTATTCCATTTTATGTATATACTGCATTCTGTTTATTCATTCATCCATGCATCGATGAATTCTTGGGTAGTTGCCACGTTCTAGCTTTCATGAATAATGCTGCTGTGAACATGGCTGTACACATATTTCTTTGAAAACATGCTTTTAATTTTTTAGGGTATATACTCAGAAGTGGGATTGCTAGATTATATGCTAATTCTCTTTGTAATTTTTTTTGAGGGCCCTCCACACTGATTTCCACCCGCACTGCACGTTTTTACATTCCCACAGTAAAACACAAGGGTTCCAATTTTTCCAGGCCCCCCTCAACACTTGTCAGTTCTGGTTTTTTACAGCAGCATCCTGATGGGTGTGAGGTGGTATCTCCTTGTGGTTTTGTATTTATTTTTAAAGAGTGAACTTACCCACAGAATGGTACAGAAATGGAGGAAACTGCTGAAAAGGTTGGGTTTTCTGAAGATTAAAGTGAGAAAAAACACATCTCCTTTTACACATCAGTCGTGACTGGTGCCCACATTTATTCATGAGACACAAGGTAGAAACGGCCACCGGACATCAGTTTCAGTTATTTTTTTGCTTTTTTTTTTATTGTATGCTTGATGTATTTAGGGACAATTCCAAGGGCAAGCACTGGATGGGGAAGTTGTCTGGGTTGTGGATATTGTACAAAAGGCTGTTAAGACGACACGGTCAGTTCCCACTGCAGGAAGCAGAGTCTCCTTTTTAGCACTCCCTGCCCACAGCATTGTCCAGCTCACACATTTACCTCCTCACAACATGATCGCAAACGTGTGCGTGTTCATTCCCACGAGACATCTGCACGTGACGGGTCGGGATGTTTGACAGAGACCACAGGCGGGGAGCTGGGACGCAGGGCCTGTGGGGTGAAGTGCCGGAAGCACAGAATATTCTGGGACAGTGTGTGCCTGGGACCCTCCCCCCTCCCCCTTAGACAGGAAGGCATGGCCAGCGAGGTGGTTCCCGCTCCCCTTCCTCTATGTGCTTCCCTCCTCACACTGAGAGCTCAGCGGAACACCTTCCCCATAAATGACTTGTCATCTCCTCGGTGGAGCGTGCAGTTACCGGTTCCAGAACACACACCGGTCCCACCTGGCTTCCCTGCTGGGCCAGCCGCACGTGGGGTGACATCAGTTAGGGAGCAAAGTGGTTTGCCTGGTTAATAACTATTTTTATACCTACTCAGCCACCCAGTAGTGAAGGAACCGGCTGCTATAATCTAATAGGCACACGCCTGCTCTGTTAGACAGCTTGTCAGGCAGACTCTTTCTAATGAGAACACTGTGTCTTAGGTTACTGGGCACGAAAGAATCGCCATCATTTCAAGTACATCCTTATTCTACCTAAAGCTCCAAGCCACCTCCTGGAGTGAAAGAGAACTGCTTCTGCTCTGTTCATGTACCTTCCTGGAGGCTGTGGTCAGTCCCTCTACTAGGCAAGACTGACTGGCTTATGCCTGGCTGTGGGGTGGGAGGGGGGGAGAAGCTGCCCCTACGGCCATGTCTTCCGTCTGCACAATGCACAGCACCCCCACCCGAGGGTTAATGGATACACAGATGGTGTTTTAGGAAGCTATTTATACTCTGACCTTTAAACATTATCTTACAGTTCATCTCGAATATTTGTTTTCTCCATATTGCCTTTAGAAAAGCCATCCCCCGGTCAAGGAGTTATCCACGTAAGGATATGCATTTTTTTAAAAGCACGGTCTGTGGGGAGCGTTTAAAGAACAAGCAGTGCCCCCAGCAACAGCCTGCTCAAAACCCGACAACCTATTCCAGGCTGCTCATCTAAGTGAATACAAGTCCCTAGAAGTGAACAGGCCACTTCGGCAGGTTCCTGGCTCTCTTCTTGCCCTTCCCTGTGATGCCCACTGTACGAGGACTCTGTCCATTGCTATTATTGGGTCCGACTGTACACAGACTGCCTCTGGGCCTGAGGGAAGCACCCCAGCCGGGTTGACCGGCTGCCAGGCTGTGCCACGGAGGGCTGCCTCGCCCTCTAGTGGTCACCCAGGGGCATCACAATTGCGATGTACAGTGTGAGCCCAGACAACTCTCCATCAGGGTTGGCCCTTCTCTGAAGTGCTGGGCTAAGGTCAGCGCCCCCTCACAGAAGCAGCCATTGTGTGTCCCACTGCACCACGCTGGGCAATGGCCTAAGGCTGGCTGGGTCACCGTGACCTCTGTGTGGCCCATAATAATGAAAGCAGGCCTGTCATTTATTCTCACTAGCCTCCTTTTGGTAAAACCCTGGATCACTTTAAGCATCACAGGTCTGATGCAATGTTTCCATAACAGGTGGAGGTGAGACCTCAGTGTGAAACTCGGTGTTTTAAAGAACCACTCTGTAGGTGGGCTTAGGGGGGATAGGGTACCTCCATCGCTCTGGAACCCCACCCTGGCCCCCTTAGCAGCTGTAGGCAGACACTCTGAGAATGGCAGCTGGAGGAGACCCTAAGTGAATCAGCAGTCAAGGCCCGAACCTGGGCAAAGGCTCGGGGACTACAAGCCACCACGCACGGCTGCTGTTAACTTTGTCAGCCCCACAGTCTTCCTTGCTGTCACTGCCTGTAGTTAGTCATTTTCCTACAAACCTCCTGGGCAAAGAGCTCACGGTGCTCTTCAAGGGCAGTTGGTAGGGAAAAAAAGAGGTTTGTTCTGATAAACCTGTGACCCTTGGGCCATGTCTGAGTATGGGACCTGTGTCCCTTCCAGCTCTTGTGGCCTGACATGTTGCTTCTGGAGTCAGTAGGAGCAATTAGCTGCTGTTCTCCACTAGCTGTCTACCGCCACATTCTCCATGACTCATCTCCACCCCTTTCCTTTTCTTTTTTTTAAAATTTACAGAGAGGAAGGGAGAGGGATGAGAGCGAATCACTGATCGGTTGCCTCCTGCATGCTCCACACTGGGGATCGAGCCCGCAACCCGGGCATGTGCCCTGACTGGGAATCGAACCATGACCTCCTGGTTCCTAGGTCGATGCTCAATCTCTGAGCCATGCAGGTTGGACCATCTCCGCCCCTTTCCATTCCGAGCGTGGCTGAGAGGGTCAGTGGCTGGAGGTAAGCCCCCACCACCTGCACCTGCCCGCGCCAGCTACCCGTCTCAAGGCAGCTGCTGGGACACGGAGGGTGGGAGGGATGGAGGCAAGGCCCAGGAAAGCCAGCCGCTCCCTACACAGCTCTGTGGGGTGGAACAGGCTGGGCTGGGCAGGGCGGGCGGGGGCTGGCCTGTTACCCTGGAGTGAGATGCTTCTACCTCCATCTGTCGCCTTCTTGCCCTCTGTGTTCCCAGTGCTGGCCCATCTGGTCCTCCTCGCAGGCTCTTCTGCGCTCCGGTGGTAAGTCAAATCCTTCATGTGAACACGACATTGGAAACAAATCGGTCTAATTAAAGTCTCTGCTGAGATAATGTTGTGTCTGCTCAGATTCCAGCTACTCTAACTAGAATCAAAACAGCCAAAAGTTTCTCCCTCTCTTCCCCTCATTAACCGAGAGCTTGGCGGCTTTGCGGGGTGGAACTGTGCCAGAGGGCCCTTTATTGGTAATTCACCTAAACCAGTGGTTCTCAACCTTGGCTGCACATTAGAATCACCTGGGAATCTTTTTAAAATCCTGATTTCTGGGATCCTCATCTCACCTGGGAGTCTTTTTAAAATCCTGATTTCTGGGCCTCATCCTCCGGAAATTCTGTTTCTTTGTTATTAATGTTGTGACCTCACCCCATAACAAAGAAACAGAATTTCCGGAGGAGGAGGCCCAGAAATCAGGATTTTAAAAAGATTCCCAGGTGATTCTAATGTGCAGCCAAGGTTGAGAACCACTGACCTAAACAGACGGCAGTAAGCAGGCCGGAACCATTCTGCACCAGGGCAGCCAGGTGGCGGGTGCGCTGGAGCAGGTGAGCCTGGTGCCTCTGGGCGGCCCACACGGGGATGCAGGGAAGCCACAGGTGTGGCTGCCTCTGACTCACTACAGGGGGCGGGTCCCGCTCACACAGGGGAGCAGCCCTCCCGCACGTGGGAGCAGTCGGTGGGTCCACCGCTCACAAGCACGGGGCACAGAAGACGGGCTTGTGAGGATCACGGGAAGCCGGACGGAGCTGGGACTGGACAGGACCCCTGTCCTCCTTCCCTCCAGATGTGTCCCTCAGAAGACACACCTGGAGACCTTCAGCACTGCAGACAAGCCCTCGCGTTTAGGGCGGCCAGGAAGCTTCTCCCTCGAGGGCACAGGCAAGGCCCTGGCCCAGACACAGCAATGCCGTTTGTGAGCCTGGAAGAAACTTACTCAGCGAGGAAGACTCAGGAGACTTTGCCTCCCCACCCGCTCAGCTCTGCGGAGCCCGCCTTCCAGGGCCTGGGGAGCACACATCCTCCCGGAAAGGCCAACGCGTCCATTGTCACGGAAATACAACAACAGCAGCTTGAAATCCACGATTAGTCACACGGGGGAACCACGGGCGCACGGGGCACATGTCACACAGCAGAGGAAGGGGACCGCGTGGCAGAGGGGACGTGTTGAGGTTCCAGCAGAACACAAGTGTCCGTCCGGTCTGGCTTCGGAAAGGGGACCACCAGCCGCCGCGGAGGGCCTCTCGTCTTTCTCGCCCGGGAGAGCGGTGGTTTTGCTGGTAAGTTAGTCGGTGGGAAACTTTAAATACGAGGGGGAGGGTGGGCCGCTTCACTTAAAGAACTTGATCTCCGTGTCCACACAGTCATAGAAAAGGTCCGCCACCTCGGCGGGGTCCGGGGGCGCGGGGCCGGCCAGGATTTCTTCCATGGCCTCCAGGCCTTGCTTCTCCAGCTCCAGCATGGTCCTCCGCAGCCTGCGGCCCTGCTCCTGAGGAAGCACAAGCCAGGGGAGGTCATTGCCACGAACCCTGAAAGCCTCCTGGGGTGGGAGACCCTATCCAATGTTTCCTACATGACCACATGGGGATCCTTCCAGATGCCAACATGGGTGTCACTGCTCTGCTTGGCATACCTGCCTGGTTTCCGCTGCCTTCAGGATACATCCTGAAAGGCATCCCAGGCCGGCTGGACGCACGAGGCTCTTACTTGGCCTCTAGCCACACCCCTTCGACTCAGCCAGTTGACTCGTCTGCCTCCCTCCAGCCCGTCCTCCCGACTGCCTGGGCCAGCGTGTCCCCCAGGGCCTGGTCAGCTGCACCCCTCTGCACCCCTCTGCAGGCCTCTCCTCTGGGCTCCCAGGGCAGGGCCTTGCCTCCTGCCGGCTGCTCTCTGTCACGTGAAGCTCTGTCTGCTTGCCTGTGTCCCCGTTAGACCCTGGGCTCCTGGGGAGTGAGAACGGGGTGTGGCTCCAGGCGCCAGAGCCTCAGACGTGGTAGCACAGTAAGTCCCGGAGGGAGACGCTGCTGTCACCGCCCCCCTGACTCACACCTGCGGTCATTTCCACATTTCGAAGCCCACCCGCCCTCACCGGCTCAGCTCTAGAATTTGGGGTAGAAGCGCTCAGCCCACACGGCCCTGCCTGCCTCTGCCTCCTATCGCCTGATCCTCAAAACCGTTCTCGGTCCCTGTCCTCGGTCCCTGTCCGGCTTAGAAAATGCGCTGGCAGGAGCCGCAGGAGCAGCGGTGCAGACTCCGAGGAATGGTGGGCAGACGGACAGACGTAAGACAGCCGACAGCTGGTGGCGTGGAGGTGCGAGCTCTGTGACCACTGAGCCTGCCCTGCTCAGAGATGCTGTCGGAACCCACTGGGTTGCCACCCGGGTCGCCTTCTCTATGTCCCTTTTGCAGTTCCTGGTGCTCGCCCGGCCCACACAGAACGCGTGCTCAGTTCACCTAAAAGGGGCTCTTTCTTCCGGAGAAACTGGACCTGCTCCCAGCTGTTTACTAAACGCTGGAGGGTGGATGCGCGTCTAACATGCCCAGTCCTTCCTCCTCCCTTCCACCAAGTACAGCTGGGGCTGCAGAGGAATGCTCACGGGTGCTGGGGGTGGCCTTGTTAGAATTTACATCTCATAGCTTTAAGTTCCAAAGCTTTGGGGGGGCAGAGGATCTGCACTTTAAAGAAAAACTTCTTTTTAACCTAAAACTTGAGAATCTTTCTTTTAGTGTCATAAAATGTATATCCCACCAAAAATACCACTGGAGCCCTTTTCAGTGTACTGTTCAGTGGCATTAGGTACGGTCACATTGTTGTGCGACCCTATCCATCTCCAGGACTTTGGGGAAGAATCAATTTTTTAAGCATTTTTAAAGTGTTGCCACCACATACAACCTTGTGTCCCCAAAAGTATACAAAAACTGTAGGAAGAAGCGAAGCAGCCGTCCCTACTGGGCTGCACATTTCGGGGATTCCTAGGTGAACAGTAAGTGAAAGGGGCTATTCTGAGCCCACTGGGCTCCAGAATAACATCAGAAGCATAGGCTTTGGTTTCTTTCAGGGACGGGGTGGGACAGTGAACACCGCATCCTGGGTTTTGGGGAGGAGCGTGCTGGAGCGGAGGAACAGGGTGACTTGTGCCCTGCTCTCCTGGCCCGTGCTCGCTGACGCCACCACTGTCCATGGCCCAGCCCCGGCTCACCTGGCCCCTGGCGATGACAGCGCGTGCCCACTCGTGGGCCTTGTACAGTTCGTGCCGACGGTCTGGTTTCTCCTGGAACCGGGGCTCCTTTCTGGCAGGGTCGTCATCCCCGAAACAGGGAGACTGTGCTTTGGGGACAAGTTTTACATCGTCCACAAAGATGAAAGGCTTGAAGATGGACCTGGAGAGAAAGGAGAGGGGCTTCAGCCAGGCTGGGTGTGAGGGCACCAGAAGCAGTCCTTCCACTCAGCAGCCATTTCTGGGGGTAGAGGGTGGAGGGTGGAGGGTGGA